GTACTTAGAGGTACTAAATTCTTTTCAAATTATATATATACCCGACTCAAACCAAAATATATAATAATATTATTATGTGTCTTTAATTTCATAGTGTCAAAACTTCCAATATTACACATAGCACCATTTTCCATATAAACATAGCTACCAAAACTTGCCTTATATGTAAAATTACATGTGTTTATAATAAGCAAAGTTCAAAATACACAACCAATTATGTTTGTTGTCTTTAGTCATTAAAAAGCATCCCAAAACTTTTAATCTAAAAACTTTGCACAATACTTATATCAACTGACTTATCCTTTTTGTTGTTATCATTTTCTTCTTATTATTTCTATTTTAATATAAAGTAATTTTTTATGTGCCGTTCTTTTTTACAATATAAACAAGTAATCACATTATTTTTTTTAATGAGATTTAGTCCTACTATGACTAAAAGAGAACCCTCCATTATAAGATATCTCTCTAATTTATTAAAAAAACTTTTAGTTGATTTATCACTTTCCTCATGCTTAAGAATCACTTCTTTTAAAAGAAGTGAATTCTTGACATTCTCTAAACACATTGTATCATATAACATAGTATCTTGAAAGTGGTTATAAGAGAGGAAAAGAGGAAAATAATTGTAAATCTTGATCTTTATCATCAATAATAACATTAATAAATCTTAATTGTCAAATGATGGAATTAAACTCATTCAGTTGATTTAATATTTATACCTTATTGTATACAAAGTAGATAAAGCCATATAAGGGCGAATAGAAATCCCCTCACCCTTGTTCTGACGTGACTTTATTAATAATCAAGGGAAACCAAGGGAAGCAACCATTGCAAATGTCATAATATCATAACCCCCAATTTTAATATTTCTTATGTATAACACTTACTTGTTAATTTGTTTGTTTCAAGATGTTACGAAAGTAGCAAATGAAACTTGAGTTCAAATTTCACTGTCATTAAATAGTTTTGTTGCATGCCAGAACATTCACGGTGAAGAGAGATATAGAGTTTAACATCTTAGCTTTATACAAAGATGCAACACATACACAGTTAAGAGAGAGGGGTACGAAGCCATAAGATAAACCGTAATCTTTATGTGAAAAATTCTAATAAGGGGAAAAATCACATGACCTGGCCTAGTTGAAATAATTCCACCAGTATGTGTTGTTGATTGCAAATGATGCCCTTTCCTGGGGGAAGTTATTGACTAAATGTAGTAAATATACATTGTATAGAGTACATTATACAGTCAGAGTTAAAATAAATAAATGATATGAGAGCTTTTCTTAGAAGAATGTTGGCATGTTCATTTGTTCAGTAAGACTATAGTTTACGGACAACTGTGGTCAGAGGGATCATTATTTGATGATTGAGGTCAAATGGACCATTGTTGGGTGAAAGAGGTCGGAGAGACCATAGTAGGACGATTGTGACCGGAGGGGCCGTATTCAGGCGACGGAGGTCAGAGGTGCTGTAGTTGGGCAATTGAGATCAAAAGGACCATTGTCAGTTGACAGAGGTAATAAGGATCGCAGTTGAAGAGCGACTGCAGTCGGAGGGATCATAGTTAGGAAACTTGGGTCGAAAAGATTGTTGTCAGGAGACAGAGTGTGAAACCCTTTAAACTTTTAAGATTTTTTTGGGTTAAATTTAGAGAAGGCTAAATTAATCGTCCGGTATGAACTGGGTTCGTTTGGAACGAACAATTATAATTTGTGATTTCGCCTGTACGATCTTCATCTGAGGACAGAACAGAGGCGTTCCCTTTCGTCCCTGTACTAAATTAAATATCGTCTGTACGATCTTCATCCGAGGACAGAATAGAGGCGCCCGTCCCGGTACGATATTAAATATCGTCCAGAACAATAGAAAATATCTAAACCCATTATTTAATTATTTTCACGGTTTAGAGAATTAGAGAAATGGAGAGAGAGAAAATCCAGATTTTGGGTGACTTCGGGCCGTTTTCGTTCGTCGACGCAGTTTGAAAAGTTATTCGACTCAAGGTAAGGCACATAACGCCCGTCTCAATTTTCAAATGTGAGAGTTTTGGCAAATAATCTGATTAAAATTTTGTATCCACTAGTAAAAACGGGGATAACTTTGCACATGTAAAACTTTCATCGTAACTTTTTGTATGTCGTAGAGATTACAATTCTGCACATTTTGAATATTTTATGAAAATCTTTCACCTGGTATTTTGAAATTTGTGGAGTTTTTAGTGAATAGAAAATTATCGGAATGTTGAAAAATAGATCTGTGGTATAATAAAAGTATTAAAATATTGTTTTACACAATTCCTGATAATTTGATAATTTTTTGAAACTGTACATTTTTTCCTTGTTGGATTTTCTATTGTCTACCATTATACAATATGGAGATATTGTGATACATGTTCAATTACTCTTTAATTATTATATTGTGATGATATATGTGCACATGTGATTAAATTTTATTTGTTTTGAGCTATAAGGGGCAAGAATCCTTTGAGATTTTATCTGTGTCAGGAAATTTCTAGGAGTTATAAGGGGCCAAAATCCTTTGAGATTTTATCTGTGTTAGAGAATTTTTGGGAGTTATAAGGGGCCAGAATCCTTTGAGATTCTGTCTGGGATTTGGATATTAGATATGTTCTGGTGCTGTAAGCACAAATAAAAAGGAAGTTATAATGGGTAAGAATCCTTTGAGATTCTATTTGGGTCTGGGAAATGTGATCTGAACAACTCTGTGATATGAATTTTAATTGATTCATGTGTTCTATACTGTTATCTGATTTATGTGTTATGTACTGTTATCTAATTCATTTGTTATGTGCTGTTATCTGAATTATAGAATAATTGTTATGTATTTATTACATTTTGTCAGTTTTATGATTCTCAACTCAATGAAGTATTAAATTGCTATTAACTGCTTCTAAATATTTAGCAAAATATTTGAAATAAAAGAATATTTAAAAATTTAGATTGGCTTGTGTGACCTGTTGAGCTGTTGTAGCTCACGGTGGTTTTAATTATGGTTTTCAGGATCTGGTAAAGGAAAAGATGTTGTGGACTAGTTGTTCAGGATCAGATCTGAGGTCATAGATATTTTGTTATTTTGATTTTTATACAGTCATGGCTAGTTCACTTTTTATTTATGTAGTTTTTGTCTGTAGTCATGTTCTGTAGTGTAAATATTTATTTTGATGAATGAAAGAAACTTTATGGATGAGTTCTTCAATATTTGGACATTTACGAAGCTCTGTAGTTTATCATTTATATCAATAAATATTGGAAAAAAATCTGAAATAATTCTAAAACTAGATCTTAGTGTTTGCCTATCACAGCTCAACACGATAGAACCTGTCCTGGTCGGGTTGGGTTGTGACACAGAGGTCGGAAGGACCATAGTTTCTGGGTGAAAGAGGTCATAGGGGCCATAATTGGTTGGCAACGAAGATTGGAAGGACCATAGCAAGCAGGCGTTTGTCGTCAAAGGAATTGTAGTAGGGAAATGGAGCTCAGAGGGAATGTAGGTTGCAGACGACTGTGGTATGAGGGATCGTAGTCGAGAAATAGAGGTCAGAGGATTTTTAGTCGGAAGATTGAAGTTGAAGGGACCATAATCGATGGGAAATGGAAGTTAGAAGGACTGTAGTCAGTTGGTGACGGAGGTTGGATGGATGGAGCTCCAGGACTCTTCAAGCCTTACAACTCTCTTGAATCTCTAGCCTAGAGCCCAAGCCTCCAAAAGTCCAAGCCCCTTCCATGTGGTAAGTCCTATTTTTAGGTATTTGAGAGTGGCATGCCCCATAAATATAGAGAAGATCTAGAGCAAATTTGGAGTGCTTTATCAGATGGTTTGTATTGATTCTTTCGATCATAGAGCATTCATTCAACATTTAAGTATCTTAATGATGTCAAAATTAAGTGATCTTTAGCTCGTTGGATTTATTTCGTCGAGCCGCTCGATTCGACTATAAGCATGCTATATTTGGATATCATTAGATTATCCAATAAATGCTCTAAAACTTTCAAATATGCTTTAAGCCTTTGATTTGAGCCCATTTGGGTTTGGATTGGACGATTTTAGTATTGTTGGGTTCGTCTTGCCGAGACACTCAATTTGAATATAAGTTTGCTGAAATCAAAGTTTGAATGATCCCAAATTTAATTTTGAGAGTTTCCATTTTAGATATACATTGAGATTTGTTCCCATTCAAGACAATTTTTGCTGACATATCAAGTTTAATCTCTTATATTTCACCAAATATCCTTTTCAATCAACCATTATTTTTTCTGACTGTCAAATTTGAATTACATATAATTTTCAACTTATGTGTTTTTTTCCTTCTCCTCCTATTTAATATAGTGGAATAGATACATTTATGAGCGTGAATTAGGAAACATTAACTACATTAAATAAATATGAAAGATCTCATGTTACATTATACAGTAGAAGGAGAAGTATTGGCTTCCATTTCATTTTTCTTTCAGTGGTTCCCCAAAATTTACCTGAATCCTCACCATGGCCAAGTTAATTCTCCACTGATAAAACTCTGCTCTTTTTCAGAGAAGTGCAAGTTCAAAATTATATGCTGGCTATTTTTTTTTGCAAACTATTCATCTATGAGCTCACCAAGGAATCAAGAACCTAGAATTCCCCATCCATATAAAGAGAGCCCGTTTGCTCCTTTGCTCCATGATTCGCTCCCTAGGAGAACCAAATGAGCAATGATGCACCACTTATGTAGGTCAAAAGGCTTCCTACTTTACACTACATCCTCCCAAACTTTAAGAAGGAATAAGATTTTGGAAGCTACCTAGAGATTATATTCATAGCCATACACAAACAAAATCTGCATAAGCCACCATGCCTTCCCACCCTTTTTGACACTTCACCTATTCTATGTAACAATTTGCTCTTATGGAGGACTAAAGGAGATTCCATAGCATCCCTTAAGCCAATATATATAGCTTCACATGCAACCATAGAGGTCTCACACCAAAGTTTAATTTGACTTGTCTTCTTCTTATTAGCTAGTGCTGTTGATAATATAGCCATGTCAAGAGATCCTCTAGTTGTTGGCAATATCGTCGGTGATGTTCTCGATCCATTTAGTAGGACGGCTACAATGAGACTGATCTATAACAATAAGGATGTTACAAATGGCTCAGATCTCAAGCCGTCGATGGTGGTAAAGGAGCCTCGGGTTGAGATTTCAGGACGCGACATCAGGACATTTTATACGCTTGTAAGTGGTTTAATAAAGAAAAATTTGCTTGAATTGATAAAATTTATTAGGATTCTAATTAATGATATATCATAGGGGCAAAATCATCTTTTCAAGCATAACTACCATCAAATTAATCATTTGATTATGAAGCTATCAATGAATAGGATAAAAGTGATAGATGGACCAATCAAGAAAAGTGTGCATAGGCTTTAATGTGAAGACACTTGCTAAGTTTATTTCTTCATGGCTTTGTGATTTGGGAAGATGAATAATATATAAAATCAGATATTTTTCCTAACTCTTCAGTGATGTGATAATTTTAAAGGTGATGATAGATCCTGATGCTCCAAGCCCAAGCAATCCAACCAAAAGAGAGCACCTGCACTGGTAAACACCTCACCTGATCTTACAAATTCCATTTCTCCCTGACAATTTTTAACATTTACAATCAGTGAAAACAATTTCATCAATTTGTAATTTTCTTTACAAACATTCAAATGAGTTCTAAAATCATCAAAATGAACATTCTGAATGTTAAACAAATAGAAAGAACAAAAGAAAAGAAAAGAAAAAAAAATCCATCCAAACATCCTAAGATCAAACTCTTCCAGTTTATATCAGAATTAATGGTCATCAGAACTAACTGTGATTATGACAACATTTCAGGTTGGTGACAGATATCCCAGAAACAACAAATGCAAGTTTTGGTGAGTTCATATAACAAGTTGCAGACTAAAATTCAAAAACTTGGTGAAATGTTGAATTTTGAATCATTTTTTTGATCATATTTGGATATTTTTGTCATTTCAGGAAACGAAGTTGTATGCTATGAGAGCCCAAAGCCAACAGCAGGAATCCATAGAATTGTCTTTGTGTTATTCAAACAGTCCGTTAGACAAACAATTGATGCACCTGGATGGCGACAGAACTTCAATACTAGAGACTTTGCCCAGCTTTACAGTCTCGGCTCACCTGTGGCTGCCATGTACTTCAACTGCCAGAGGGAGAACGGTTGTGGTGGCAGAAGGTATGTTGCCAGTGGATGGATTTGACTGATCATCACCATCATCTGTCAAGAACAAGCCAATTTACAGCTCCAGTTACTGGGATTATAAGCAGTCTCAACTCTCAAGTGTATATTTCTCTCTCTCTCTCTCTCTCTCTCTCTCTCTCTCAGCTCGATCAGCTTCTAGTGATCCTTTATGAAGTGTACCAAGGAAATACTTTCAACATTTTCAGTTGTGCTTAAATGATGTATGTTTCGTATTCTGAATGTGAAATTATATGAGTGTTGTGAGGGTACTTTGATTGCAGCTCTGACGAAAAAAGTATTATCAATTGAAGAGTTTCAACTTGTTCATAAGATCATAATAGTAATGAAACTCATTGTGACAAAGTTCAGTGCGTTTGACTGTTAAAAAATTGTTACATTGAGCCATCCAAGAGAAACGAAAGAATTCGGTTTCGTTTGGATCGGCTTTCTTAATGCTTCTTAAAACAATTTTTTAGTACAAAATAAAAACTTTTATACTAAAAAGCTGCTTTAAGAAGCAGTAGGAAAGTTGTCCCAAATAAAACCTCAATGTAAACTCGTATGTCTTGACAGGAAGAGTTCAACTACACACTCACAGATTATTTTCTAAATTGAAGGTTGTGAAATTCACTACAAAATTTTTCTATAAAATCGAAAAGCTTTCAAGTAAAGAACTTAAGTTAGAAAACATACTTAAAAAAAACCAAACTTGATGATATAAGTTTTGTTTGGATTGGCTTTCTTACTGCTTTTAAAATAACATTTTAAATTTTTGTACTAAAAAACTGTTTTAAGTAGTAAAAAAGTCGTCGTCCCCCAAACGAAATCATAAAAAGAGATGAATAATTTCTAAAGTGATTTGCTAAGCTGATCTATATTCCTTTCATAAAATCATTCCAATCTGTAGTGAGCTGATATGACAATTCCAATGTTCTTCAAAGATTGGCAGGTTGAAAAGATTTAAGAAATCCTGATTTGCCCCCTAGAAAAAGTTAACATAGCATAGCATTTTAAAGAGATAAAATAATTAGAAATTAACACATGTGTAATATCGTCCATCATAATTTTAAGGGAAATTTACATACATATCACTTTATTTCATGCTATTTACATATCTAACATCCAAAACATTAATATTACATGCATATCACCCATATACAGCTTTAATATCAAAAATATCAATCCTATAATTCATTTCTACCATTCATACCATCTTATAAACTTTAATATTTCATTCAATGCACCCAAATTTGTTCTATGAGTTGTAGGAATGTAATATTAATATTTTGGATGTTATATATGTAAATAGCATAAAATAAAGTGATATGTATGTAAATTTCCCTAATTTTAAAAGGGCTCTTATGAGAATGAATCATGATATCCTTAATTACTCTTAAAAATATTTATTTAAAAAAATCACTCTCTACATGCCACTAAGCAGTATTTAGACTTCTGGAATCTTACTTAATTCGTAATTATTGTTTTATGAACATCCCAATTTTTATTGAATTTATTTATTTATTAAATTACACTCTAGATAATTCATAATTATACTAAAATCACACCAATACATCATTAATTAGGTTAATTAAGAAATAATTAACTCCAACAATAGTCAGTGTAATTTATTAAAATAAAAAAATGATTTAATAATTATTTTTTATTAATTTCTTATCCAGTTATTGAAAATTTTTAAATGATTAACCCAAATCACATATATTAACTTCCAAATATTTTGCACAAATAATATATATCTGATTTACAGGTAAAAATAAAAAATTAATTTTAATCCATAGAAATAGCCCAGAAGTAGTCCATAAATTACTCGCAGAACCACTGGCGGTGTGTCGGCCTTTTCTCTCTCTCTCTCTCTCTTTCTCTCAGTGTTTCCCCTTCATCGATTCGATTAGGGCGAAAGGTACTATTTTTTTCCCTTCTGTTGATGGATTGGCTCTGTAGGAGTTTGATTTTATCATAATGCTTTATTGTTTTGAGAAAAGATAAATCTGTTATAGTTGGAGTTTAGCCTTATTGTTCCTATCTTCTACTCAAGGTTTGGTAATTAGATTACTCAAATTCGATGAAAAAATCAATAATTTATTCTTCGTTGAAGTTTGCTCACTTGTTTAGAAGTCACGCAACTGTTTTGATAGGGATTTTGTGCCTCATTCTTCTTCGGCTGGAATTGCATCTTGAAAGGGTTTTCCCGTTCAAGGTTTGAAGGGGGCTGTTGAGTTAAATCTTCGCTCGACTATGGTTATTATTCTAATTTCGTTGTCTGATTACAGTTCTCTGACCATCTTTGCGTACGGTCCTCTGATCATAGTCACTTGACTTGTTACAATCACCCCATCACTGTTGCCCGACTATGATCATCCGTCCACCATTGCCTGACTGCAACCCTCCAACAACCGTAACTTGACTATGATCTTCCAACCACCATCGCACGCCTACAATCCTCCGACCACTTCGCCTGATTAAAGTCCTCTGACAACTATCGCCCGACTATGGTCCTTTGACCATTGTCTCCCAAATATGGCCTCTCAACCAATGCAGCTTGACTACCTTCCTTTGACCATTATCGCCTATCTACCCCGATGTCCATTGACTTCGTCACTTGTTGTCGCCGACAATATCAACTCACGTCATCATCCATGAGATCAATGAACATCATCGACATCAACTTTGACTTGGGACATTAGCACCAATATTTATGCTTCACTTCTTCATCTTTTATCTCTTTCTCAATGGAGAATGACTGAAACAAAGAACAAATAATCTCTTCAAGATAACTCCTATGCCACAGGGCTCTTCCACCACAAAATATGTACTATATGTCGTATGTCTTTTATATTTTATCAATTTCTTCCCCAATCATAGGAAATGACATCATTTGTAACGAATGAAAGATACTAGTGGAATTATTTAATTGGGCCAAGCCTGTGATTTTTCATTCTTATTAGTTTTCTACATAAAAACTACAGCATCTCTTGCAACTCCTCTTTTATCTGCATGTATGTTAGATTTTTGTATAATGCTAAAACATTTAACTCTCTATTTGCCTCTGCAAATATTCTGGCACACAATACAAATGATTCAAACTTAGAACCTTGACAATAACTTGTAAGATTATTATCAACTAATGAAGCACAAATCTGAATTTTAAAAGAGTTCATCTTTATTTCCTTACCTTCTTATGGATCTCACCTAATCGTGGATGAGCTACTATAACTGTAGTTTCAATGGAACTTTAAACAAGCCATAACTTAAGTTTCAATCGAACTTGAAATAATAATTTAGTTAGATGATCTCAATATTAACATAAATAATTTCTTAAAACTTTATATAATTCATTTTATATGTTCTTAATCTCTCGAACATTTGCATGTAGATGAAACTAATATATTGCACAAACTAACTTAAATGAGACCGTATCCACACTTCTAAAAATCTAGAAGTTGGAAACAGGCTTTGTACTAAATATGAGACGAGTCGTTGAAAGAGATACGGAAATAATAGTCAGATCTTTATCAAACTCATGTCAAGCCATTTTTTGGGAAGACAAATGAACATGCTAAGAACTAAATACACGCTCTTCAATTTATATTATGTTTTTGCCACCAAGGTGGAAATTTAGCATTTTTTGTTGAAGTTGCAAGTCTTGCATGGTTGCATAATTTTCATTCAAAGGAGAATGAAAATGCACAATTTATGTTCTTTTAGCTTTAAATTTCTTGTCAGTTTATTTCTTTCTTTGGGGTTTCCATTCATATGGTTATGATCCTTCTGTCTTGCATAGTTCATTCCTGTTCTTTTTGCTATGCAGTTGCTCAAATGGCTTGTTTGTTCAAATCTGTTCCATTGGGCATTTACAGCTATGGCCTAGGTTCAGGATCAAATATACTATTTAGGAATTCTAGGAGTCCTGCTAAAAAATACATGTCCAGGTCCTTTAAAATTCATGCATTAAAGGGGAACGAAGGGCCTCGAAGACTGATAGATATTATTCGTATCATCCCCGAGCTCTCAAGAAACTATTTCAGAAGCCGTTCTCGACGAGCATTGTTTGGTGGAATCTCTTTGTTAGGTGGGTTCTATGTTGCACAAACAATTTCTCTGTCTTTTGGTGCTCTAGCTGTTAATGATGTCATAGCTGCAGTTGTCTGTGTTCTTCTAACTGAGTATGTGACTAGATTCTACTACAGTCGGCCTAAGGTCACATTTCCACTTGCATTGCTGAACAATTTTAAGATGGGTTTCACTTATGGTCTTTTCATTGATGCATTTAAGCTAGCTAGCTAGCTGAGAAGAAATTGCCTAATCTGGTTAGTGATTGTTTTATCCATAAGCTTCAAATGTACAAAAACACCTCAATAGCTACAACACTGTTTATATCAGCTGCATCATAGCTTTATATTTCATTTTCTATTGATGCTTCATCCAAAATGCATTTACTGTCTTCTTTTATCTTGTTTTTTAGCCTATTTCTCCTTGGATGTTTTAACACCTCTTATTCACATATTGAAATATAAGTCATCAGTTAAAATTCTGATATGCGAATTTGGTTTTTCTGGTAAATTTCTTGGAATATACATGGATTTATGATGGTTCAAACTCTTTAAAATGCTTCGAAGCTAGCTGCAGGATAAGGTCAGGCCAAAAACAATTAGAGCTCTAATTTTTTCTATATAAAGAGATGGGCATCATCTTTATATTGTACCAAAACAATTAGAGCTGTAATTTTCCACAATCATTCATAATGAAATTTGCGATGACATCAATTAGATTTAGCCATCAATTCGGTGAATGCATATATTTGGGTATTTTCTTATTAGAAGAAATATATTTGAAGATCGTGTATTTTCTTGCTACGGTTGTTTTTCGTAAATGAAAACTTTCAAATAGAAGATTGATTTAAAGAAGAAATTGCAAAAGCCTCTTTTCAGTCTACTAGGATTTTTCTTGTGCTAGTGTCCGTGCTAGCCCTCCTTCCTTCTCTGTTTTCACCTCACCAAGCCCTTGGCTCTCTCTCAAAGCTCCGTGCTGAAGTGCTTGCATTCCAAATTTAAATCTGCCCCCACCCGACCTCCTCTTCTAAAAAAAAAACTCTCAATTGCATAAGGCTCTTTCAGCACTACAACTAGATCTACAATATCTATCCCCTCAAATGGCTACATGTTTCTTCTAATCAAAATAATTTTCCTCCCTCCCACCTTTTCATTCATTCTTGGGGCCAATCCTCTCCTTTCTTTGCCTTCTTCAAGAGGAATCACTTCACATCCTTGAGTCCTCACCAACTTCAACCTCAATCGGTCCACGAACCAATTCGAGATGAAGTTATGTATAGCTCCACTGTCCACCAACACCTCCATTGATTGTCCCACAATTTTACCCCTTACTTTCATGGTGTGATTTGGAGTAAATCCCACCATAGAGTTCAGGGACACACTTCTGCCACATTTAAATGCAACTGCTTCATTTCCTCCACAACCTCCTCCACATTGTCCTCGCTCTCCTCTTCCCCCTTACAGTCCATCAAGACTTGAAGGGCTTGATTCTTACACCTATGTCCCAGTATCAATCTCTCATCACACCTAAAGCATAACCCTTTTGCCTGCATATCCTGCACCTCCGCTTCTGTGAGGCGCTTTAAATTACTTCAAAGACGAACTCCAGTGCTCTTTTCCTTCAATGCTTCCTCTGAAACAACACCGTTTGGGGTCCTCGGTGCCAGAGTTGTGTAGGTACTCCTGTAAGCCCCTCCCATGGTGTTGTTCCGGTTGACTTTCTCCCTCTGATGTTTCTTTTCCACCTTTTGTGCTAGCTCTGTGGTCTCCCTCAACTCCCTAGGCCTTAACACCCTGAGCTTTGCTCGTATGTCTTTCTTGAGGCCCTTCATAAAATTCCCTTCCAACATTTTCTTAGAAATTCCCCTCAATATATTCAATAGTAACTCAAATTTCTCTGGGTACTCCATAGTTGTCCCCACATGATTTAAGGCATAAAACTGCTCACGGAGGTCTTCTCCCCCGAATGGCTTGAAAGCGTTCCAGCAAACAATCCCTAAATTCATCCTATGAATAGGTTGGATACCTAGCCTCCCTCAACTCATACCAAGCTAATGCTTTACCCTCCCTTCAAATATATCCTCGTTACCATGAGATTTTCTCCTTTCGTCAGTCTATTAATAGCGAAGTAACGCTCCACATGATACACCCAACCTTGAGCATATTCCCCTTCAAAATATGGCATTTTTAACTTCCTTGGTCTGACATCTATACCCCAATGGTTTCTCCCCACGTTAGTTCCTCCAATGTAGTGATGTTACTATTCTCTCTCTTCCTCCCTTAACTAATTTGGATCCCATGGCCTGGCCCAACCATTGCCTTCTTCAGTCCACCTTCCCTCCTACCTGAGTGGTCTCCAAAAGGGTTTGGCCTTCCCCCTTATTAATGCCCTTTCTTCGAGGTACCCTAATGCACCTCCCATTAAAACCCCCGGGATGGTCCTCGAGGGAAAATCGACTAGCGCGACATGCTGCCCCACGCACGCGTGGGCCACGTTCAGCCGTGGGCCACATCACGGGCCAGGCGGGCCGCGGGGGGACCAGGATGTTGGCCAGGCAAGTCATGGGCGGATCGAAGCCTGGGCAAGGCTGGTCGGGTGCGCAGGCCAAGCAAGCAAGGCGCGCAGGTCTGCCAACGTCGGCGGCGGCCGATTGGCCAGCTGGCTAATTCGCCAGACAATTTGCATCCGGACCTAATTTTTTGGCCCACAAAGGTCAAATCGGGCGTTTTTTGGATCCTCAGGATCATTTTTCGACGTTTCAGACTCAAATTCTCAAAAGGCTATGACGCATATTTCGGGCTTTTGGAACTTCAATGTCCAAAAACAAAGGAGCAACTGATACATCATAAAAAAATTATCCTAATCTGGTATGAATCGTGAGGAAAAATCAAGTTGAAAACATCCAAAATTAAAATTGGGACCATCTAAACTCTGATTTCAGCAAACTTACACTCGAACTGAAGGTCTCGAGAATACGAACCCAACGACACCAAATTCAACTCAATGCGAGCCTAAATGAGTCCAAATCAAGGACCTGATGTGCCGTTGGAAGGTTCAAGCCACAATTTGGATGATTTATTTTTATATTTTATGAATATTTTATATTTGTTACAATTTTTTTCTTTTGCCCATTTAACAGGCTATTTGTCACTTCGGCCGGCGACTATGTCCCTTTTTTATTATTTTTTTTATAATGTATATATATATTACAAATATTAAATTATTATATGTTTTTAAAATTTAGGCTTATTTAAATCATAAAAGTCGTGGCAATCGAGTTATGTGGAGTTCTGTTCCGTTGACTTGTTCGAGGTTTGGTGAGCGAAGCATGACGCCACTTCTTCAAGTCTTAGGCTGACTTTTTTTATTGCTTTTTTAAAATATTGTTTTAGTACAAAAATAAAAAAATTTGTACTAAAACTTCATTTTAGAAAGCAATAAAAAAGCCGT